ATGAACAACGTCCGACGAATGCGTTCACATTGGTAGCTGCTCCGTCCAGTTGACTTAGGCTAGGAAAAACTGCTGGGTATACAGTACACGTTCGCATTATTGGCTGCTTCTTTCGAACGACTTTTATCGTGAACAACATTGAGAACGAACACATGCGAGGAGTGAGAACAAACGTGTATTTGGAGCGCTTGGAATACATGCTAAATATCATCTTGGATTCGGTTGATTTTCACGCCGGCTGAAATATTTTTTTACACCGTGGTAGATAATTGACATTTCAAACATCAAGCAGCAACTGACCGATAAAGATACTTCCCAGTGATTGGCAGGTAGCTTGGGTTAATCCGTTCCCGTATACTATTTCGTATGAAGGCCACGCGGCCTCAATCTGATACAAAAGAGCGCAATAGGGTTAACAGAATTAACTTCTGAAGATTCTGGGTGATAGAGTGGGACTCAATGCCCCTTTGTGATACGTTTCATGCATACCAAAGGTGAGAACAACCATATCACGTCCTTTTCAACCATTTCCAAAACGAAAGTTTCGTCCGCTAGTATCTTCCTGAAGTCCCATGTGAAAGGAAAAATATTACGAACATCATATGAACAACCAACGTTGCCAGACGCATTTCACTATAAAAGCTGTTGGTATTTTTGTTGAAAGTTTGGGACATCTAAGCACTGTATGAAAGTTTGGGTGTGAACACGAGGTCAAAATGTGATGAAACTAAAAGCAGCTGACTCAGAGTGGCTCGTATAGGTGCTTTGTCTGCAGTTCCACTAAACCAATGAAGTATCCAATGGATATGACATGTCATGTTACTTTCAAGTAATTTTGAGGTCGCAGCGGAAATAATTTCAGCGACAGATAAATTCTGCAGTGCGCTGAAATAAGTGGTTGATTCCGTTAGCCTTCAACTCTCCAGAACTCAGTACGTATGACGCAGAACGCAGAGAAAACGCGGGCTTCGCGATTTGGAGATGGAATCTGTGTTACTGATTATTGATTCACTCGATTTGCCTGGGTTGAAAATCGAGTGTACATGTGAGTTCAAGGATGGTAGAAAGTGTAAGGAACAATTAAAATTATGAAGTACAAAATGCCTCGCAAGACGCTGCAAAATACAGTGCCAACATAGTATGATTATATATCTCCATTTCGACAATATCTTCTAAATGCCGCAATATTAAGCACCCTCAGTTTGTGATATGACGTATTTAACGTTGCAAGTTGCAGTAAAGCACTTGTAAGACTTAACGAAGTGGGCTAATACCAACAATGGGTTGTTTTCGCGAAGACAGTGAGAATGCTCCTCATCACCAAACTAGTACTTTTGACGCTTATTTGATGGTTTCCGATGTTCTTGTCAACGGCGACTGGTTACAATTGATGAACTGTAGGTACTTTACGTAAAATTTTGATTTCAGCACCTCCACAACATTTCAAAAAGAGGGTTTTGCGGCAAGTGACCTTCTTCCTTCTGAACGGCCTTGAAACGCAGTCGCTGCGGAAGTCATAGTTACCCACGGGACTATTCTAGATTCGTCCTATCGACAGAGGTTGCGAGTAGATTAAATCTTGCTTGAACAACTATTAACCATCCTTGCTTAATAGTGCTGGATAAATCCTTTTTCGCGGAAATGAAATCTATCCGTCTGTTGGCTGAATGCTATCGGTTCGTAACTACAATGATCCAGGGAGTCGAATTTGACGCATTTGATGGACGGAGGCGTTTTACTGTTCTCCAATCGTCTGAAGCATTCTTGGGGACAGCTGTGTTGTTGATCGTGCCTGTTATGTCCCTGTCTGCAGAAGATAATCCTGTTCCCTGTTTCCAACACTTGACCACCGGTCCCCAGCTGACCCATATTGATGACATCATAGCGCCTTTAAATTTTTCCACTATTTTCGTCTCAGTCTATTCTTCACCCACACCTAATTTTGGAAGATTTCATCAACCAGTACGGAAACGTGTCTGAGAATGATGAATTTTTTGCTGCTTCATATGATTTTGGTATGTTTGGGGAGTCTAGAGCTAGGCCCATGGATAGCAGTAGGGACGGTGGCATCCCCACCGATGAAGACAGAAGGTGCATCTGACCTCATTAACCTTCCCCAGCTATAACTCGGTATTCACCTGAGCGACATTTGGTGATGAGCGACGGACTCCCTGAAAGGTAAACACATCTAGAGTAACTGGACCTAAGGCTTATGAGGGAACAGCTAGAATTTCGCAAGTAGTTGAGTAGAGGGCCTGTGTTTAGTACGATTGAAGAGCCACCTGAGAGAAAGGATGCAGATGTTCTCCCTTTTAGCTCGTCATATGGGCTTCCTACTGGTGGATTCCAAGGGAGCTGTATAAAGCAGTATGCGCACAGCCTGGTTATCATTATGGGCCTGCCAAAAACGGAGCTAGAACCCTTTGGAGAGTCGCGCTTGAAATTCTGAGGCTTCATGCAAAACTTAGAGCTTAATGTGGCCGACAGACTAAGTGGCCAAGAACAGAAGTTGTCCTGCATTATAACTTATCGTAAAAGTCGAGTTGAAGGAGATATCGATAACTGTGTATTGCTGCCTAGCAGAGGACGATTCGCCCAGATAACTGGAATATTGCGGGAACGATTTGGAAGGCCTCAAGAAGTTACTCCTGCTGCCACCAAGGACGTGGTAAACGGCCCGAGGCTGTCCACGGAGGACATTGAGGGGTTTCATCGTTCCGCCACTCTAACAAAAGAATGTCAGTTGACGTTGCCCCAACTTAACCATCCATCTGATTTCAATTGCCTAACCAACCGTCCGCATAATGTGGATAAACTGCCTCGCTAAATGGAAGAGAGGTAGCCAGAGGTAGTCACATCTGTCGTGAACGCTGGCTAGGAGTCTTCTTTCCACGGCTTACTTGAGTTTGTAGAGAGGCAAACTTCGGTTCTGCGTAATCCGTATGACTAACTCAGCGCCCGATCGGTCCAGGGCAGCATCAGCGGAAATGAGACCGCGCGCTTCCGCAAGGTTTCTCAACGAATGTCTCGCGTGTCAGCCGTCGCCGAAATGGTGAATGAGCCACATCAATGTTCAGTTTCTGGTGATGGCCATGATCTGCCGACGTCCTGGCGATTTGAAAGCGTGTCATCAGAGCAACAACGTGCGGTTCAGAGGAAGTGTAAACAATGCTTTGTTTGTTCACTGCCAAACCACACAGCCAAGTATAGCAGAGTCTGTGTGTAATGTTTACGGCCTCTACGTGGAAGACGATCTCATACTCCGATGCACACAAACCCGATGCCTTTGGGATCCGAACTCGACTTGGAGGAGTCAAGCTGTGGAACCACATCCTTGCATGATAGATGGGTTTGTCTTGGTTTTGTGTCTGTCAGGTTGATTGGGGCAATCGGGATGACTGAAGCGTATGCACTTCTCGACAACGGTTCTGATACCACATTTATAGATGAGTCTGTAGCTGAATAAGTAGGATTGACAACATGCTGGTGAACACTCAGCATTCGTACATTGAATGAGACAGATAGTGTCGAATGTTTACAAGTGAATTTGGAAGTTAAGTCTTTAGATGGTGGGAGTAGAATCAGGGTGGGCAAAGTCCTCGCTTTGAAGGGTTTTCCGACTGCAATTAGAACCAGTAAGAATATACATCAACTCAAACAAGGCGTAGAAACCTTCCTGACATCAACGAACGTCATATCCATTTCCCAACTCTGCCTGCCTGAAGACATCTTTAAAAACGGGCCCGATTACATTTGGGGAGAAAACTCTGTATCACATGATACAACGCCACGTACACTTCGAACTTATCGAAGCTATCAATTTCGCCATTGAATTTATATATCTAGATTTCAGGGCATATTAATGAGTCAAGCAGGGGAGATCTTGTATATAGTCACTTCCCAAACTTGCAGCTGAACAACAAAACTATAGTCAACACGTGGTGTCATGATACACGCCCCCACTAGCAATAACCAAATCATCCCGGTACTGTCTTACTTCATACCTGATGATAACCAGCCATGTATAGATGTTGATCATTATGCAAAAGATGGACACGCTGAAGCTGTTTAAATATATATATATATATAATAGCCTGTTCGCCTAATAGGGCTACATACAAATATGTGCCTCTTCTTATCCTACTAGACCACCTGACAGTTATTCCGTGTTGTTAAACATTATTTCCGTTCTACATATCGGCCGTGTATGCCAAATCGACATCGGAACTCGGCAATAGTCACATAATAGGAGAAGCTGTGAACCGATCTCTTCTATCGCTATACGATAGCAACTGTTTGTTAGTAGCATACAATTTATTAACAAAAAGAAAATTAAAAATAACGTCTATCTTGAAACTGTGTACCTTCCGTTGACCTTTTTGAATGTGGTCCGGAGAGCATTTAGCCATCAACAGGATGAACGTATGTACCCGTCTTCACTATCAGGGTCCCATTTGAAGCAGCTTGCCTGAAACTGTTTACTGCGTATCTACCAATTTGTCACACCCCATCTGGCATTCGTTTCATTACGCACTCACAGAACCTCATTCACATGTTATATAGAGTTGTACGTAGAACAAAAAGAAAAGCAAAAAGGACTACCTCACATACACACTTTTCCACATATATATGTTACTAATGAGTTGTTTGGCAGATTGATGATTTTAAATGAGACAGAACTGTGAAAAGTCGGGGCTTTGGCTGGATTCGAACCGGCGACAGAAACACCATGCCTCTACGCGGCAAGCGCTCTACCAGCTGAGCTACGAAAACACGCCAGAAGATCGGAAATTTCACATCCGGACTCGGTTACCCATCCTTGCTACGGGTGGGTAATACAATTTCTATTCTTAACAGTGGCGTTGGTGGATTCCAGCGCGGACTGTTCGAGAAATCCTGCCGGGGAAGTTGATGCCCTGAATAATTTGGTGGATTCCATATGAAACAGTGAGACGAGTGGGTAACCGAGTCTAAATGTGAAATTTCCGAGCTCCTGGCGTGGCTTCGTAGCTCAGCCGGTGGAACGCTTGCCGTGTAAAGGCACGGCGTTTCTGTCGCTGGTTTGAATCTAGCCGAAGTCCTGACTTTTCACAGTTGCGTCACATATATATATATGCCCATGCGTAATGACATGGTCACCTTGGTAATCAATCAGTCTATCATTAATGGTAGCCGGTATTGACGGTCAGTACGGAGTTTTGATTATCGCATGATAATCATTCTAGAAGTAGCTGCTCGTTACCTTTTTATTGCGAAATATTATAACAATTACTCGCCGATATCATCGATTTCATTGAAAAAAAAACGAAAATATTAATATCGCGTATGGATTTCGTTAGAAAATATAACACTTACATTAATCCTCATAGTTCGTATGATTACTTCACATTTTCCCATTTGACACATGGCAGTGTGTTCTTGTTCTTATTCCCACCAGCATCCGTTATGCAAGGAATATTTTCGCGATGAATGAGCGCCCCAAACCCCATATTGGCCGAGCGATTAGCCAGATTTTCAACTTTTTGACGTTTGCCGACATTTTACGAGGTTCCGCAATGCAGTCTGCTCAGTCCTTCCCCAGAATTCGGATCTTTCTGTCCTCCCTTGCCCGAACTGAATCATTCCGGCATTTTTCCGACCGAAGTTACGTCAAAT